CTTGCTCTATCTTGTCGAAACCGATAGTGGTAAGAATCGCTTTATTTTGTCTGGAGCGATACCAAAGATCGAAGCGAACGTAGCGTTCATATGGAAACCAGCCTTTAGAAGCATTCGCTGTTCATATGAGTAAGTTCGTTCAAGTAATGGACATCATTTTATGTTCTTGACGGCAAACTTGCACTAAAACCTTTCAGCGAGTCTAAACGTTGTATATATAGAGGCGTAAACGGGGAATCGAAGGGGCAGGGGAGGCAAAAAAACACTCCCCAAGGTCGGATCCAGGATTTTTCATAGGGGGAGGGGGTGCACTACTAAGGAATGGCGTAACTAACTGGTGAGGTAAACGAATTTTGAAAGCGAGTACGAAGAACGGTACATCTCAAGGGGGGGTGCGGTGGGTGCGGACACCCTGTACCCATCCCTAGACCCACCCCTGCTCCACGTTCTTCGATCCCTCCCTCACTCCCCCGTTTGATCCCTGCTACGGAGACCATTGTATGTGTCGTTCTTCTGTCTCAGTCTGAATGCTTCCTTTGTTCAAGGGACTCCAGAAGATAACGATTCTTTACAACTTTTAACCGAATTTGGCTCGCTTCTATTTAATGAATCTGTCATATAAGCAATAACCTCCATTTGGCGCGAAAAATATGCTCGAATATTTGTCCGCGGACATTATCTGTTCCGAGAAGCGAACACTTTTCCGACAGCAAAGCATGAGCAAAACTGTGAGCTTCGGGAAACAGGTAATGTCCAAGGACAAATATCTTAGCTTATGTTAAAAGTCAAATGGAGACTATAGTGTTTATTATCCTTCAAATATTTCTCGCCACACGCGCAGGACCCTTCAACTCGTTAGGATGTAGACCTTTGTAGATAGAAAAAATGAGGAGAGGGTTTGGGACAAGGAGCGACAGAAGAAAACGTTATTGGGGTCACCTCCTGTTTTATTTTTCAAGATATAGCTATGTATGTATTTCTAAGTTGTTTGCATCTTGAATAAATGCTATGCTATTATTATGTCGTGTAACGCCTGTGACATTATCATAACACAAACGAGGTTGTGACTGACCAAAACTTCTCGGAAGAAAATGTGCTTACAATGTTATTGCCAACTTTAAGGATCTTCGTTATTGCTATCTATCAAATAAATACCAGTCGTGAGTTACCTCCACCGTGTTCCAATATTACGAAAATATTCATGTTAAATATTGACTAGGGAATCTACTTCGAAACTTCGACGTTTTGAAGCCTCGCAAAACAACACTTGCCTAAAATTATTTCAAAGCCCAAATTCTTAACTTCTAGTGCCGTGGGGCATAATTATTAACTTTACAACCAACAGGTGCAGGCAAAAAATCGAGGCCATTTGGATGAAAAGTAGTGCTAAACGCAAGACGGAGACTTCTTGAGTTGCATCATTCAAATGTCCTCCGGCATCGCCTACTGAGGCATGCTGGGTCTTACACAGTCTCTGGACACTCCCAGGTTCAAAAAACAAAGCGGAAAGTCAGACCAAACTTGTTCCCAGGCTCTCTCGCTCACTCTTGGGGATAAAGAGAGAGAGATCCTGGAAACGAGATGGCAGACAGACGAGGCTTTAAAAACAATACTACTTTCGTTTCGTTTAGTTTATTACAATTCCTGGCACTAAAATTAGTTTTATTTGGCTTTATTTGCCTTTAACTGGTTTTATTTGCTTTTACAGACCCTTACAGTTAGTCTTAGACTACGAGTAGTCCCTCTTTCGCTTAGTTCGTCGTGCGTGACGTGAAAGAAAACCGAGAGAAAAAAATGGCCGCGTGAAATCCCGGGGGCGAGCGCGCTCCTTGTCCCCAGGATTTAACGCGGCCATTTTATTCTCGCAGTTTTCCTTCACGTCACGCAGGACGGACTAAGCGAAAGAGGGACTACTCGTAGCCTAACTAAGTCGTAAACAAAAATTGGATATGATTTCCTAGTTCCTTTCATCCTATTTGCGACCCATTTGTGAATTTCCTGCTAAGCAGTCCTGTGGTTGACGAATGCTTCACTTCCGGCACGTCTCGTAATTAGCCAAGAACCAGTCACAAGTTTCCCTGATAGCTGAAGACGAAAAACGTAGCAAAAACATCAGCTCAGTTCTAGAACATTCGACTCTAGTACACCAATGAAAGGGTGTTTCTTTTTCAAATCTTTTTAAGAATAAATATGACTAATAAAGAGCATGCTCTCCGAGACAAAAACAGCAAAAAATTTTGACCGCAAGTCTAGATTAGCCTGTGTTACAGCCGCCCTAGTCATGACAATGACAAGGCTATGAAAGTTACTAACGAAACGTAATGCATATCAAATCACCATGACAACGAGACGAGTCAAAAGTGAGGTACACAGTGAAAAGAGAAAGATGGTTTTAATATGTCCTGGTTGAAAAAAGAAGAATTGGAAAAATCAAGCGTGTTTAAAAAGCCCCTTGGTTGGGCACAAGGACGAAATTTCTTGATAGTTTCACAAGACCAATTTCATTCTGATTACCAGTATCACAAAGACATGATTATTGTTTACTCTTAAGATTGACGTGTATGTAGAGATAAGACAACAGGCTCAATTTTAATAGCAAACTGTTTTATTACCTATCTTGGGGTCAGTGAACTTGAAATCTGGCCGGTACTTCCTCAGTTTTGCGTTACTTGCAGTTTTCTTGAACTGGCCATCTGACTTGTTAGTGTCATACTTAAAATGTGTCAAGAATTCTCATTAAATCGCACAATGTGACTCAAACGTACTGCTTTCAACAAGGCACTTCACTCTTTCTTCACTCTCTGTGCTAGGAGTGTAATTATGTACCGTGGAATTGTCCGGCGCAGCCTCGGTCAAAATATGGTGTAACCAACCTATGCTTGAAGATCCACTCTAGAATACTTTCACTGACGTTTAGGCAGAATTAGTTAGCCGTTAGACCGTTAGTGCAAAACGTTAGAACGCTGTAATGCGCCGTTAGGCAAAACTTGTTAGCCGTTACAACGTTAGAACAAAGCGTTAGAACGATTTGGAGGCCGTTAACTGTCCGTTAATTATCCGTTAGCCTTTAGCCGTTTAACGGATAACTGAGTGTTAACGTATGTTTTCTCGTGTACAGTCACATTACTCGATAAACATGTTTTCACTATAACTTTCGCTGATTGATCAGTGTTGACATAGTCCTGACAATTGACTGATTTTGACAACTTGATTCACTCGCACTTGTTTAAGCTATCAGGTTGCAAACTTAATTAAAAGTGAAATATTTGAGTAGGTTACCACAGTTGCGTGCCAGTAGGACGCCTCTTAAATGTACCTCGATCACAAGCCCTCCCCTAACATATAGAAGCCCCTTGAAAATCCAATTAACAAAGGATACTTCCAGTTCTCCTGTAAATTGCATTCCTTCTACAACCAATTCTGCAGCTTCCTTTATAGACAGCTCGTCCTCCTCGCCAACTGCAAACAAGCAAACGAAAGAGCAGGTTGAGTTTAANTTTCCATTAAAAATTTTGGCTTTTGACAGTCAGACCCTCTGCCCCTTTCCTATACCCCTCCTTGGGGTGGGTATGGATATTTATGGCACCGCACAATGAAATTGCAAACATTAAATTCAACATTAGCGTGCATAAAAGTTGGTTTTCTTTCTACCCTAAACCTTAACCACTCAGCACACAGTGTACTCTTTCAAGAGAATATCTCATTTACCACTAACCTTAGAGTAGATGAACTGTCTTCGTGGTGAACCAGTCCCCCAAACTACAAGGGGCTTGCCTTCCTCTACACAATAATAAAAGTGGTGAAGAAAACAAGTTAATGATTTTCTTTATCATTAATAAATGCATGTACATGCAAATTGCCACTGGGCATACAAAGACTACCTTTAAATAACAACTGATTAACAAACATGCAGTCAAATGACTTTCACTATAATATCAATCAAATAAATGCATTGTTCAAAGCATGGTCAAGTTGTTTCCATTTAAACCCAATGCTGTGGTCTAAGAAAAATTACGAGTCTGAGCTCAAAGGTTCCTACCCATAGAATCATGGGTACCCCGCTCTTAAGCTTATATGAAGAAAGTAAGTTTTTCCAGTTGCCCAAAGGCAAAAGTTAGTCGGCCGTGACATGCAGGCGCTTCAAGAGCACAGCCCTGAAACCAGGAACTAAATTTTACACATGTAGTTATGATATCTCTTTCTTTTTCTATCTGGTACAAATTTCTCAAAGTAAGCTGCAAAACAATTGTAATTATTATTTCCAGCAAAGCTAAAGATTTCCCTGTACAATGTATTTACTGACCAATTTTAGGCATTGATAAAATTAATGCTTATGGCATTTTTAACTCACTCTGTGCTAAGTAAACCTTGTGAATCAATCCTGGAAGAACATGGGAATCCTCCAGATGAAAGTTATCATGCATTCCATAAACATTGGTAGGCACAACACTGGTAAACATACATCCATCAGGATACTGCTGGTGGTAGGCCCTGTGAAAAAAGAAAAAAGAAAAGAAAAAAAAAAACAGCTTTATTAATTTGGTTTATATACTGCAATGTTTGATTTCGTGCCTGGGAGCTCAAGTGGGGTTTGGGAGTCTACTAGGAGTGTGGCACTTACATGTAATATTTCCTTTTCAATATTAACATCTAAATGTGTGAAACAAAGGAAAGATCATTTGTTTGAAGGAATTGTATGCTAACATGAAAATAACAGTTGAGACTCTAGAAGACTAGTTGTTTAGTTTAGGACCAGTTGACATGGTCTTGGTTGTCTTATCACCTTCCTATTCTACACACCAATAACATGAAGCAAATGTTTTTTTCAAAATGCTGTTAAACTGTTGGAATAATGTCAGTGGTAAAGATTTACTGGTAGTCTGTTTTTCTGATGTAAAGAAATTTGAAAGAAATCACTTTGATTTAATCATGTGCAAATTCATGCCTGCTAGCTTCAGAATAGACAGAATGTTTTAGCTTTTTAACTGAATTATTTTAGTTTTAATAAGGGCACCAATTATAATAATATTCCTTATGTAATGGGAATACGGTCGTGTTGGTTTAGGTAATAGCGTTCAAAGAACGCAAACCTAATTTTGACCTGTGGTTTTCCAGGGTTGCGTTTCCTGTGCACAGTTATAAGCAGAAAAACTCAACATTCCTGTAAGGACACCAAAATGGCCACCCCACTTGATTTTTGCTGGGGCATGTCACGGCCAGTAAACTGGTACTGTTTAATACTAAGACATGTGATAAGACATGTGGTGAACATGCGAGCATGTAAGCAGACCATGCGAGCCTTTATACTGGATCTTTCGTTGACTTCTTTCCATTCAGGCACCGTGGGCTTCGCTATTTTGTGCTCTCAGCGTTGGATACTGGTGAATATAAATGCTTCGACGGTAGCATTTATCGAAATCTGAGAGAACTTTCCTGGTTTATTTTGTACGTTACCAAACACGACTTTGAATCGCCTTGGCTTTGGAATGTTAATTGTGGGAACAGCTATATTTTGATTGCATTTGTTGATTAGCTCCAGTCGTGACAGATACATGCAGCTCAGTCTTTATCCAGTCAAATATTTCTGGAATCGGTGGAAAAAGATCCATGAGAGTGTGCCAGTGAACCAAGGAACGGCAAATTATGTAAATACTGTTGACTTTATTCATCATGGGAAATACGCGAACCAGTCACACAGAGTTTGTTTACGCTGACGATAAACGAGCACATGACTGCAAATGTTTGCTTATATTTGTGCTTCCAGCTTAGAATAATGTATATAAAATAAACTTTTTCAAATTAAGTTTTACGCTTAAACATTACCAGTTAATGAGAGAATATTTAGCACAAAATTTGAGTCTAAGGAAACTGGCGCTGTCACGCAACGAATCAACAAATCATAGTTCATACAGGGACCCCTTAAACTGGCAAGGACTTTGACACTATGATATATCTGTCTGTAAAACCTTGGTTGTTGATGCAAAACGTTGATTTTAGCAATTGACAGAGGTTCAAAGTCAGCTAGTGAAACCATTCACTTAAGGTATATATATTAAAGTGATGGCGTCTAATGCACTCTCATAATCTTTGATTACTACTAGTTATTAATAAATAGGGGCCCTAATTAAGAGTAACAGAAACATGATTGGGGGGACAGATTAGAAAAAGGGTCGCTTATTGGAAGGAGAGGACTAAATTGAATCATTACTGGCAGTCACTGTATAAGCACAGTACTTGAAAAATACTGGAAAGATCTTTAATTTTCCACTTCTAGCAATTGAATACGAATTAGAGTTGCAGCTTAAATGAACCATAAACTAAGCGAGTCATGCAAGGAACATTTATCATACCTGTTTTGCACATCAATCATACGTTTAGCATATGAATAGCCAAAGTTAGAAGTGTGGGGAGGTCCATTATGAACCATTGTTTCATCTATAGGATATGTTGTCTTGTCTGGAAAAATGCATGTCGAGAGACAAGAGACGCATTTCTTCACCTGCATTCAACAAATAAAAAACATTAGCATGTGTTGACCCATGCTTGGCTTCTGGAAAATCCTGCTCCAAGCATTGACATTTAAAACTTTGCTCAAGAGACAGCTGGCATAAATAGGTTCACTATTAGGAAACTGTCAAGTTAACTGACCCAAAAGGTGGCCTGCAATATACTAGTGCCTGGATTAAAATAGTGAGAGGTACTTATCAACGGAACTTTGCACCATGCAGTGTTGGGCCTGTAATTCTAGGGGGGGGGGGNGGGACAAAGACTACATGTCGGATAAGGACCCAGAATGGAAAACAATAGAATAGAATGCAAAAGAATGCAAAACTTGAAGGTTATTAAGTCACAGGGAGCTGAGGAGTCTTTTTTGACAATAATTCCTACTAAATTCACTGTAAAAATACAGCACAAACTGGTTTTGTGGGTCAAATCATTGGGCCCAGGACTGTCATTAAGTTTTGATTCACCGGTACACTTGATCTTCACACCTGTAACAAATCTGTTACTTTATGGGTGAATTATATCAACTACAGGTAAGTTCAACTGTAACATCAAGGAAACATCAAGCATACTCAGTTGAAACAGGCGTTTTGCGTTACAACCTTTAGTTGTAGCCCTGTTGGTGGTAACAGTCTAAGCAGTCAACAACAACACAGTCTCATGACAGTAACATTGATCACCTACAGTGAATTGATTTTACACTGCAACTGAATGGCAAATTTAGCTGGAAATAATACAGTCTAGCAACTCCCTTGGGTAGGTGTAAATTCAAAGATAAAAATTACCTTGAGCATTAAATGTAATATGATCAGCCACCCACAAAGACATCTCAAAAAACAAGCATATTAAGGTACTACGGGTACCCACCTTACTCAGGTGACAATTGTTAAGAACATTATCATTTATCTGCGTATTCATCCGCTGCAAACAAAAACAGAGGAAACGATAAAGTAGGAGGTAGGAAGGCAAATGATTTGTCAATCACCTGATTAAAACTGTTGAACCAAGGTCTAGGATTAATGTTGGTAGCAAATCCAGAGGATCTTACAGTGTAGTTTCAAGAAGATTCTTGATATTGACATTACTAAAGGCATGCAACAGGGTAAAGGCAGGGTAAGGGGTTGAAGAGAATTTCTCAAACATGCCAAGTATAAGTTATGACGAAAACTGCCCTACATACCCAAAAATCCAGATTATATTTGAGGTTCTTAAAGAGACCACCAACCAAAGCTGCCAAGTGAATAACATGGGTTGGCTTGTGTTTGTCAAAAATTGCTTTAGTTGCAGCTGCATCGCTAAAAAATAAAAGCACAAAAAAGGTTATCATTTAACTATTGATGAAAAAAATGTACCAAATTTGGCAGAAAGCATCCTTCTGGATTTTTTATTACTTAACTACCAAGTAATAACGAAAATACAATTATTTTCAGTCTCCTGTCCTTCACAACAATAATTATTGTGAACAATTATTGTGCCACATGTGTAAATAACTCAAATGAGTGTTACAGTCAAACCTGTATATAACGGCCAAGTATTACACGGCCACCCTCTACTAAGTGGCCAGTTCTCAAAGTCCTGATTTTTCGCTCATGCAAACGCTGTATTTGTTACCCTATTAGGCGGCCACCTCTATTAAGCAGCCGCGGCCACCCTGTAGCAGTCCTATGTTTGTCTTTCTTTGTCGTTTTTACCTGTATTAAGTTGTGTATGTGTTGATTGTCCTATTGTTTCCTTGCATGAAGTGTTTTTGTAGACACGCCATTAAAACTGACATTAGACAACACCCAGTGAGTATTTTCAGTGATCCTGTATTAAGCAGCCACCTGTATTGAATGGCCAGTTCCTCAAGTCCAGTGGGTGGCTGTTACATGTATATACAGGTTCAACTGTATTTACAATGTGCTCAGCATACATTGTGGGGTCAACCACCTTAAACGAGGAATTTAAGGAATGGCTTGAAGTAAAACGTTCCTTTTAACATACTGTATGTTCAAAAATAGAAACCAAAGTATCACTAATCTGCTTGGGGCTTGACATTTGTTACAGATTTATAGTTCAGACCTTACCAGAGGTCTCCATCTTTAGAGGACAGAAATATCCAAGTTTCATCAGATCTGCTTTCCTCTTTTGCTACCACTTCCTCCAGAGCTTTTCCAACAAGACCAGTGCCGCCAGTTACAATAATTCTTTTTTGCTCAGCCATATCAAGACAAAGTTATGTGCTTTGGAAGAAAGCAAAAGATAATAGAAGTTTTAGGTCTAAAGTTTTCAAAATTCAGAAAATATGAATAGAGCATTATGATAACATAATTTACAAACAGAACAGAGGGGTACAAAATGACTACTGATGTAGATGACATTTATCTAGTAGATCTCATTTAGGGATTATCAAAAGTTAAAGATTCACCCCTAAATGAAAAAGCTACAAAAGCTGCCAGCAAATTGAAGTTCACCTAAAATGATAAATTTGATTCAAAGTTTTCCAGTTTTTGAAAATGACTACTGTATTTCATGTTCATATTGACCATAGTGAAATTATCTCAAGGCTCCAGTTAAGTCAGATATATGAGTCATAGACCAAGTGTGAGGCCAAGACGGCTGCATTCTGGTGACGCTTTTATTTAGTGCATGTTTGTAGTTCGAGATGCACAAACAAAGATCAATGTCAATACGAATTTACCAAAAAAGCTTGGCCAAAAGCCTGTGTCACAGCTGCACCCCCTCCCCCTCCCACCCCGTGAAAAAAAAAGTCAAAGAGATGCATCTGTGGGTTACTGCTGATAATCATGTCCAAGATCATGTGACTTCTCCTGGAATGTGTAGAAAATGATGTCATTGGTTGATCGATTGTTTGCAGTTTAAGGGTAATGGTGGTGAATTGTTGGAAATTAGCGTTTTGTGTTTTATTGGTGTTGGCTGGGAACACAAAGGAAATTTTTAACACTTTCTGAGCGAGATATAGATTTAGAATTTGAAGTTGAAAAGTAAGATTAATCAAGTAAATTATCAGCATTTCATGGAAATCGTGTGAAAATTATTTTGCAAGTTGTCTGTTTTTTAATCTGTGAACGTTCAAAGGTCATGAACTGTTTCATGCAAAGATCATGTGTAGAGAGTGATCTCCTACATTGTCTCCTTGTGTCATGTCAGCTGTTGCAACACTGAAATGGTCTTAAAATGCCTGAAAAATTCATGCAAGGAACATGATTATGAAAGGTAACACACAGATGCTCTCTCTCTCTCTCTCTCTCAACAAAGGGTAATCAAGAGCAGGTGACTTCCAAAATGAAACTATTTTGAAGCTGATAAACCATCAATATACTATACACATGTTTCTCCTCTTTCTCCAGGTTCAAAATACATAATATACTTTCACATTTAAATAATCTTTATTTATAGTATACACAAAAATTATAATGTTCTTCTTAAGAATTGTGCTCATTGAAAATGCAGGTCTATGGTACATTATTGACAAAATTGCTTTTAGCCATAAATCAATTAAATTCATGTTATCATGGATAATTTTTAAATTCAAGGATGCCTGGGTCTTCTGCAGCTGAACTAAGGTAAGTGTCATCTGCATACGTTACAAAATTAGTGGTACATTATTGATAAATAATTGCTTTTAACCATAAACAATTAACATCATTTCATCATTGATTTTAAATTCAAGGAATTCTGCAGCTGAGGTAAGATAAGTGTTATCTGCATACAATATAACAGAATGACATGAGGGGAGGTCATTAATAAAATACTTGGGGGCCAACACTAGATCCCTAAGGGATGATCCCAGAAGGATATCACAATTACAACATTACAAAAATCGGCTTGTACTCCGATCAGTGATAGTTTGCAACTTTTACACTGTGGCACTAAAACCAAGTAATGGATTTAATTTATAGTTAACACCACTCAACACTGATCGCCCAAATAAAACATGCTCTTTAGTCTTAAGCGTAATTAATAAGCTAATACAAATTCTCGATATCATACTCAAACCCAAGAGTTGTATGACACTTTACACGAACACTGCATACGTACATACGCTTACATATACGCTCGCATACACGTGCAAAGTAAGTCAAAATATTTTCCTCTCCGTCGCCAGACTCCATTCATTAACACTGCGGGCTTGGCCATGGAAAAAGTCAAGTGAACATTTTGTTACAGCCGGTTACATATATAACTCAATTCAAATTGATAGTCGGTAAGTTCTTATGAGGGACCCACATTATGCACACAGCAGGGGCTATACATGTACGACCAAACCAAAATGGATCAACTGTTTTATCGAAAGGTTCCGCTCGCAGAATAAATCATAGTCGCTAAAAACCTACCTCTCGTTAGCTGTGATCTGTTCGTGAGCTCCCTCCTTGATGAAGTTCTTTCACCGCCGCAACTGGGCTTAGTGACCTATCCTCCTGACAAGTGTTGCTGTAGACGTGTCACACGCGCGATTCCGCATTTCTTCGCGCGAGGAACGCGAAGGGAGTGAAAAGCATCATGGGTAGGATCACGGAAGTTTGTCAAGATGGCGGCTGTTCCTTCATCAGGTAAGCAAATTTTGTTATTGAAATGACAATGAATTTTCCTCTAAACATGGAGAAGAGAGGTTGTTACATCATATTTACTAGTAACAAATCTGTAGATAAAAGTCCCTTATGAGCACTGAACTAATGAAAAAACTGTAAAAGTGATAAGGATGGCATGCAAGAACGACAGAAAATAAGGCTTGCTGTTGTCGACAGTCCATTTCATACATAAACCCGTGATTATTTCCTTTTCGTTATTGTTTACTTGCCCTGAAGACGATTTAAGAAGATAAACATGCACTATTTTAATGTCACGCATAACAAAGGACAAGTTATAATTGTATTGCTATGTATTTTCGCGTATGACTGTATATGAGGAGATTTTTTGATGAGCAACACGACATAGCTATAATTAACTTCACTGTGTCATATATAAAGAACCAAAATGAGTCGACAAATTCACTCATTCATTCTCAGTTGAATACCAACGGTAAAGTAAAGGTAATTAATGGTAAATAATACTAGCCAAACAAGAATGTTAAGACGTTAAGATGTAGTGAATTTAAATGTAACGGTATGGATCTGGGACGGTTGGCCATTTCTCACACAATGTCAGGAGAGAGGGCCAGAGAGGAGGCCAGAACTGGACTATAGTAGATGTGTGAGCAGATTAATACTTCCGTCAAAAGAGATTTTCCACTATTGATAATTTAATTAAAAGTAGCTTTAAATTGAGTTTCACATTGTGTCACATAATCAAAACCAAAGAAAGTACAGTAGCCAATCACAACAGACATAATTCCAAATCTTGAAGAATTTGAAGCAAGTATAGTTAATCAGCACTTCAGGGCCAACAGTCTTCATTGCTGTTTCTTCTTTATTTGTTCTGATGTGGCAGGCAACACAAGTTTCAATTTTTTTTTCATTTTGTGCTATTCTCATTAAACAAAACTTAACATCATTAAATTAAATGCAGTGCTGTAAAGTAAAGCCAAAACAATTCTCAATTATCTCCATCATTCCAATACTATTTGAAACTGACAGTTTTGACAGTACCAACAATGAATTAATGCTAAGATCACTTCATGGGATATATTCAAATTCTATTTGTAGCATGTACAGTGGAACCCTATTAATAAATATGGCCACCTCGCTATTACAGCCACTGTATTCCAGCCCCAACAAAAGCTCAATCGGTCATTTTATTTTTTAAAAGAACCCAGATAATATGGCCACACCACTAATATATGGCAAGATTTTTGTGGTCCATATTGGTGACCAGATTAATGAAGTTCCACTGTATAATAATAGGATGTTGATACTGTTACATATTTATGGGTACATAACCAATATTGAATTATCGCTTATTTTTGGTACTAGGATCTTCCAGACGAAACGTAATGACTGGTGATTTGCCAGAGGATTTCTTGCGGCTATCACCAGCAATGAATCAAGCTTCCCAACCTACCGGGAGAGGGCAGATGGTCCCAGTACAGCCTGTAACTTATTATCAACCTACAGGGCTTATGCAGCCGTATCAACAACAACCCATGGGGAGACTTAGTGTCACAGTACAACAGGTCTGTATAATCTTTATATAAGGGATAATAGGTAAATGTAAATACATGTTTGGACAAAAGTAAAGAGTTGAAGAGAGAGATGGCATGATATAAAGAATAAGATAGAACATACTAAATTCAGAGCGGGTCATACTCTCTGTGTGTTTCTTTATTTTTCCTGTAGTCTATTTTTTTTCAAAAAGAACTGTTTCATATTATATTGTATTATTTTTTTACAGGCTAAGTTAGCCAAGAACTATGGTCTTACACGCATGGATCCTTATTGCCGTGTCACTGTTGGAAACCATGTATTTGAAAGTCCAACAGCTCATAATGGTTCAACAAATCCTCGCTGGAACAAGCTAATGTCAATGTGAGTTATCCTCAATATTACAAGGGAATTTAAAACTGAAGAATCTGACATACGAATGATTGCTGAAACGAAGAATTTTTTTGCAAATTATGTGTTGTTTCTACATTTACACAATAAATATTACACCTTTTCCTTTTTTTAAAAATAGCTCAGAAAAAATGTTTCTGGTTTTTTAGACTTGAGGACACACTGCCTCCAGCCTATCAAAACAAGCAATTTCTTTCAGTGTTTTCTTATTGTTTGTTAACAATAATCACTTTTGTTTTACAGACCTGTACAAGAAGGTGTGAAAAACATCTATGTGGAAATTTTTGATGAGGTATTGTCATTTTCAAATAGAAAACCATAAAAATGTTTGTCGCCTACTCATATCTTGTTTTTTTGTTGTTCATTTTTATTTTATTTTACTGTTCATACTTGATTTTTTAGTACCATCTACAAAATATGAGTCAGTGAGAAATATTTAGTATAATAATTTTTATTTTTACTTTTCAACATTGTCATCTCCTGACTACAGCTATTCCAGAATCAAACACATGTCTGGAGGTAATTCTCTGTTGGTGATTAAAAATTCAGACCTTGTCAACCTGTATAGAGTACAAATCTGAACATCATCAAAGACATGAAAGGAAAATAAAGGTGATCTCTAATGAAAAGTAGAGATTTGTTACAATTAACACAGGATCAGAAATCTTCAGAAAGTTCATGTCTTGGTTAAATTAGAAAAACAGCAATTTTCTTGTGATTACTGCTTCAAGAATCGCCAAACACCAGAAAATTAAAAGATCATTAATTTCTACTACTAATTACCTACATGCGATACTCACTGGTTTTCAGCGAGCATTTTCTATGGATGAGCGTATTGCTTGGGGTTTGATTGCCATCAAGGATTCAGTGTTTGAAGGGGAAACTTTAGAAGACTGGTACTCCCTCACTGGCAAGCAAGGAGAAGATAAAGAAGGCATGATCAATTTGGTATTTGCATACAGGGTAGGAAAGATGTTTGCATTGTTTATAATCAATGAGGTGAAACTGGGAAATTTATAAATAAAACTTAAATGAGTGCTGCTGTCATTTTTAAACTCTAAATTTGAAGTGTATACCTTAAGACAGTACTGTAATATGTTATAAGGAACCCTATAGTTATAGTTTGATTTTGTAGAACAGTGTGCTTGAAATTCAGAGGAAACTGAATTAGCAATGTTTAGCCAGACTGTTTAGACTTAGGTAGACTAGATTTCATTTCCAAACTAGTAGTTTGTTTTGTGCTTGTTACTCACAGGTGGAATTTTGGTAACTGTGCCAAGTGTCAAGGTCGACTTGTAGGAAGTGTAATGTTTGGCTTGAATCTTTTTGAATAAGTGCTTATCGAGGATCTGTTCTTCTACTCATTTTAGAAAGTACCTGCTGCACCTCCCCAAGCCATGGTGTATCCTAACATGCCAATTATGATGGTACCTCAGCCAGTTGTACCTGGCACTCAAGTTGTTTACCCTGGAGGATATGGGCCTGGACAGCCAGTACCTACAGGTCAGCTGCAGCAGCAGCAGCAGCAGCAGCAACCACCAAGGTTCAGTGAACAGGACGTATCAGGCTTGAAGGATATGTTTCCAAATATGGAAGAAGGGGTCATTCGGTCAGTGCTTGAAGCTTGTGGGGGAGATGTTAATGCCGCTACAACTCATCTGCTGAGTATGACAGACTCTTAAATGACACTGTTGTGAAGAGGACTTGTGATCTACTGTATACAGCTCAAGTGGCAGTGAAGCAGCCATGTGACAATTAGAAAATTATTTTAGAACTGAAGTGAAACCCTGAACTACTACAGATAAACTTCTGCTCTCTCTAGAGGAAAATAAGTATGATAATGGTTGTTCATAGCTAAAAGTATATGAACAACAGTTCATGAATTTAAAACACTGACAATGCAAAGCTCTTGTGAATTATTTTAAAGGTTGATAATACACACAAAGGCTTTGAATAGAATGATTCCTTAGCTTTCTTGTGTTTTTTTAAGTAAGTGTACGTAGCAAATAATTTTAGACTTAAAAACGCTGTATCCATACAATAGCTGCTAGTCAAGACTACAATGACACCATTGGAAAAGCAGTACATACAATCACTGTGCTTCTGGACAGATGGTAGTCAAATTCAGATTTTAAAATAAAGTCATATAATATGGCAATTATTTGTCTTCATTTGTGAGACATAATCTGCCCTGTAATCAGAGGTGTATCAAGAGTAATTTGTTATGAAGCATGCATGTGCCAACAGCAGAAAGCAAAGAGGGACATGGGTATGAGTATAAAGTATGAAAAGAAAGCACAGAGACCTACCAGTAGTTGCAAGTGTGAAAAGTTTTGTGCTTATCTCCCATCCATGAACAATTATGTTTACATTTTCTCAGTGATTATTCTTTAGAGTTGCCTTACGTGGATATTTCAATAAGAACCAGTTTATTGTTTAAAACCATAACAGCGTACAAGGCTAAACCTATACCTACTGTGAGTATAAGCTCTCCAACTCTCACAATTTGTTTGTAACTTATATCCTCACAGAACATTGTAATTCAAAAACAGAGAACCATGGCAACATGGACCATGTTATGGGCTGCCGAGAGAACAAATGAATACATTCTCAAGTTCAGATTGCAGATCAAAACTTTTTCTACATTATACCATAAAATCCCATGTTGAAGCCCTGGGCTTATATAACTTTATAAGGGGTTCTGGGTGGGGGGCTTATATCCAGGGGGCATATAAGCGGAATGAAAAAAAAAATGTTTCAGAACAAGGAGAGAAAATTTATCTGAGAAACGGATTAAAGCTAACATACCATTACATTTAGAGCTATATTTATATTTACACCTACAATATATTTATAAAACACAAAAGGAATGCACTTACACATCAGATGGGCTTTTATCTGGGGGGTTTATATCCGGAATAATATCCTTGTTAGCAAATAAGAGGGCCTATATATCGGGGGGGGCGGGGCTTTAGCATGGGATTTTACAGTATTCCCTTCATCAAGAGTGGTTTCTTGTTAGCTTATACCTCAATCCCAGGCTCATTCTCGTTTCCTCTGAAAAGGGGAGGGAGCCTTGGATCAAAGTTGCTCCCTCCCCCAATATAAACTCCCATCCAAAAACCCCTGACGAAGTTATAAAAAGAGAAGGTTTTTAACTGGGGTATTACGGATAACTTGCTTCTCTTTGCACACAAATTTAACTTTCAACTCGGGTGACGCGGCTCCTAAAAGCAATGAAGTGAATGCGTGACAATCATTTCGTGTTGTGTGACGATATCAGCCTTGCATATGGCAATGCACAAATATGTTTTAAATCCAACATTTACAAACTTTCCAAACAGTAAGAGTCAGTGTCGTGTTATTTTGATGTGTTAAGCACTATTTTGGGGAAAAGGTTTGCTCCTTCCTTACTTCCGTGCCTGTGAGCCTGGACCCTACCAAAATCACGTCGCACAAATATATCACACTTTTGTCACGCCAGCTAATACATGTGTTAAAATAGTCAAACGTTCGGTGGACTTAGCGACAATCCTTCTTGGCCTGGGCTAATTCACTTCTTCAGACAACATTTTCTTTTGTTAAAATTTACCAAAGAAGTGGGAAAATGACGTTTTATAGAAATCTAGTTTGGTTTACCAAAGGTTTTCGTGAATACACGAAGAACGGCTACCTTGCTGCCGAGAAGTCGTTTGATCCCAAAGCCCTTGACGTTGATGTTTCGTCTCGAGCATTCATGATAACAGGCGCAAATAGCGGCATTGGAAAAGATACCGCCGCTCTCTTAGCTAAGAAAGGAGCTACCGTACACATGGTCTGCCGAAGCGAAACGAGAGGTGAAGAGGCTCGAAAAGAAATCTCTGAATCATCAGGAAGCGACAAGGTGAAACTACATATTCTTGACATGTCCCAGCCAAGGAAGGTTTGGGAATTCGTGGAGAAGTTTTCATCTTCCAGTGAAGCTCTTCACGTATTGATCAATAATGCTGGTTGTATGGTGAATACGAGGGAAGTTGACAAAGACGGTTTGGAAAAGAACTTTGCCACTAACTCTTTGGGAACTTACATTTTGACCACTGGTCTCATACCGTTACTCGCAAAACACGAATCTCCTAGAGTTGTAACAGTTTCCTCAGGTTTGTACAAAACAAATGATGTTGCCGCACATTTTTTTAAAATAACGAGAGAATATCTGAACGTGTCCATTTTTTCAGCGCGAGGCAGATGCGCTACATAAGAACGTTGAGAGGATGGCATTCATTGTGCGATTACGTAACAGCTTGAATACTACTTTTCTCGCGAAATGACCGCCCGTTTTGAATAAGGACCAATATGGCTTGGAAATACAATGTTTATGAGGAAAAGTATTCTCAAATCGAAATTTTGGATTTTGACTTTTCCTTAAAAACATTTTGAGTCACGAGAAGTCAGTGGGAAGATGGGGAGGGGCTGGGTGATGGGCAACTCCCTATTTGACACTTGGTTGGGTGTTCAACATGGGGTGGCAATGAATATTAGACATCATACAGCCCACAATAAGGGTTAGGGAATGGCAAATTCAAGATAGTGTGTTGTATCCATAATGATTCACATTTCAGGGCTATCATTAAGGGGCATATCACGTAACACCTGTTACAGCAGAGTATGCTTGATGACCCCTTGATGCTGTGAGTGAACTTGTCTTTTGTTGGTACAATTCACCCACAAAGTAGCAAGTTTGTTTCAGGTGTGAAGTCCATGGCAACAGGTGTATTTGGCGCTTTGTTTTGTGTAGACTGAGATTATTTAAGCTCAGAACTTAAGGACAAATAATATAAACAAAAGACGTTTTACATTATGGTACATATTGAAGTACTCATTAGCATTTTTATCACAGGAGGTATGCTAGTGATGAAACTGGATAGAAAAGATCTGCAGTTGGAACATATGAATCCATTTGATGGTACCATGGCTTATGCACAGAACAAACGGCAGCAAGTCATTATGACTGAAAAGTGGGCAGAAAAACACAAGGAAATTTTCTTTTCTTCCATGCATCCAGGTACGACGCTAACTAGTCTTATAGCCTAGAATTTCTAATTAGCTTTTCACTGAAACCTCGTTTTCAAACTGCGTGACAACCCCAAAAAATGCTTTCGACATGATCATTTTAAATAACCAATAAGAAGCCCCTTCCTGTACTGAAGAAGTGATATAATTAATTTACCATCTCTTTGTCTTCTTGCTAAGAACCACAGCCAGTGGTCCGTACCAGTGGTTGCTGAAAGCCTTTGACCATTGATTAATTAAGATCATTTTTTGCAGGTTGGGCTGACACTCCAGCAGTACGGACGTCAATGCCAGGTTTTCATCAAAAAATGAAAGACCGTCTGCGCACTTCTGAACAGGGAGCAGACACAATCATATGGCTCTCCATTGCTGATATGTCAAAGGAGATTAGTGGTGCATTCTATCAAGATAGAAAACCAGTAGCAACACATTTACCACTGGCATGGTCAAAAGCATCTGACACAGACAAAAACGAGCTGATGAATGATCTTGAAAAATTGGCATCAAAGTTTATATCTGGGTGAACTGAAAATAATACTTTGTGTTTACCTATTGCTTTTCCAGGAGAACAGATCTTTTCACTGCTTGCCACCATTATGTAATGCTATTGCAATGGTAACAAAAGACTGGCAGTTGCATTTAAGGGCTTAATTTGCATTGCTGCGCCATATGCTGTCAAATATGAAGGTTAATAACTGGCTTAATTAGTAGGGAATTTATGCAAATCAAAGAGAATGTTGCCAAACTAAAGGGTTAATGAGCAGAGACCAATGGCAATATACATGCAATATAAAATAAAATGTTAGTACATTTCTTTGCCGTCCTCTCCAAAACAACCACTTTATATGTCCAAATTCTGCACTTTCTGGAGAACATGAACCAAGGTGAATTATTTAGAACATACCTACATACATACATAAACTTCATTGTGTCTTAACATCTAGCTGATGGGGAAAAAACCCCTCTACTAATTGGGGACACTTAATATAATTAATAACCTACCAACTATTTTCCAATGAACTGATTTCTTTCTTTACATATTGAGAGGAGGATAGTTCTAACACTGATAGACAGACTCAACAGATCCAAAGATATGTGAAATTCATATTTTTATAAGCAGTACTGCCAGGGAAACTTTCGATGTTATTCTAGGAGACTCAACCGAGACATTAATTTTTACTTATCCAGAGAATCTTATAGTAGCATTAAAAATAACATGCTATCCAGGAAACTGCAACACAAACTTGGTTGGATTCATGGCTAAATTGTGTGGGAGATCTTCTGTGAAAGTTTTGTATGCCTGCATAAACCAATGGAGTAATAACTTCAGTGCTAAAAATGATATTAAGCTCTTGAGCTGTTTTTACTTTTACGGTGATGTTAACATAATGTTAAACACTGTCTTACCTAACTTGCTTATAGTTTAGTACATAAGTTATTAACAGTATTATTAAAAAAATAAAAATTATTCATAGTATTATAAACAAATAAAGCTTATCAAATGTTATGTTCAGTATTAGATACTTTTATGAGAGTTACCTAATGGTTGGTTGGTGCGCTCGACTCCGGATCACGTCGATAGCAATGGCAAAGTCAATACAGTAAGATTGAGGTTTGAGATTTTCCTGTAAAGACCGAATGTTCAAGGACAGGTAAATAAGTTGTTTATTATATGGCTTTTTGCTTTGTTTTTGCAGGTCTGTAATTGGCCCATGGAGAATAACGCCCTAAAATTAGCCAATCAGAGCATGTGTTATATCCACTTCAAAGACAAGCCATATATAAATGTCAGCTATTGTAAAGAAAATAAAGAAGTTTTCTAAACATGTTGTCAGCATTTGGGAATTTTTGTACAATACATGGCTAAACTGGAAACCTCATGGGATGACCAGATAAACAACACCATTTTGCCTTTGTTGCAATTCACTCATACTTCAATTCTCAGTTATAATGTTAGCAATGTGTGTACTCTGGTACTCCCGACCCCTAAACTTTGCTGAGAACCGAATAAATTGTTTGCCTTTTCCTCTCTCCTCTGCAGAATTTCATTCATACTGCTTCTGAACCAAAGGGTGCTTCACATTTCCCAACAAAACTTTTACCAGAAGTTCTTAGTTAAGAAGAGCAGTGTCTTAATGCAGTACAGACATGGGCATCTTACTAGTAATTTAACTTGATACCTAATTACAATTTGGTGTCACACAAACTGATCAGTGAAGTATGATAACTTTACAGGCAAGTGTAATGAGAAGCACAACTTTGTTTTAAATCTAAGTTTGAAATATTTATTAAACAACAACACTTTTTTTCATACAGAGTTTTCACAGTTCTGTTAGAGCTGAAGGGCTGATTTCCAGTTGCTGTTAGCAGTACCCACATTCTTCCCCAGCTGCCTCTTCCAATGGATGGCATTATCTTTGGACTGACAAGTTTGAATCACTATACTTCTCACTATGATTCTTCTGATGCAGAGCTGCCAACTTTGATGACAGCTTTCCCTCTAGTTCCAAAACATTTCTTGTTTGTACTTTTAAGCATTGGACATCTCTGAACACATTGATCAATAAGAGGCATTGTTTTTTGGTGATTTATTTCTTACAGTATCTATTTTCAGGCACCTACTTTTAAAAAATACTAATAACAGACTATTATAGAGTTCTACACTTCAGTTACAATTACAAATGCAAAATAATGCATTAACTTAATGAAACAAAAAATGGAAAATGGGCAGTTGCATTTCAAACACTTTCATTTATGAATGCATTGTCTCCATGTTTTGAACTGTATATCCGTTAAATTTCTCATATCCCTCAGAAAGGAATTCTAAACTCTCTTAAACTACCATTTGACAAGAGTTATACCATATTATTTGAATGCTGCACTAGACACCCTGAACGTAAAACCTTCTTGAGATGTTGGAGTACATGTATGTGTTCTTTCTCTTTATAGGTCTGAAGAAGCTTGAATATGGTTTCTTCATACATTGATAAAGTTTTTGTTGCAAAACCACATTAGCGGTAATTACATGTAACTTCTAATAATTAAAAGCATTTCCACTAAGTTCCTTTGAAGTACTTCATCTGAACTGTAATGGGCTGACTCTGAGACCAATAGTATCTTTACCAACCTCAGCAACCTGCACAACCATGAAGCATAAAGAAAAAAGCCTGCGTCAATTTTAGATAAAAAAAAATTTAATACTGCTAACATTAGCTTGCATGCAGTTCTTTTAGTGTTAGCAATGAGAGTTTGGTGGTACATCAAAACAATTGTCTTTACAAGGGTGCCAATGCGCTGATCTTGTAAGGAAAACATAATGCAGTGTTGGAAATTAATGCTCCCCCTCACCAACATGTGTTAAAAGCGTTGGGCGAGTACAAATTATTGATCACTGGCTCGTCCGGTGAGTATGATTTTCATTTTTGGTAAATTATTTAAGCTAAATTTTTATTTTTCATTTTGGCAAGAATATCTCTAAATGAGAACTTTCTGGTGCTTTCTTTTAATCTTTTTTTTATCTTTTGAGATGCCCAACTTGATGTTTCATGAATAGACAAAATGAAACACTGCTTCCTCGCAGTGACACATAAGAGAGGCATCTCATATAAGAACCAAAACAAGAAAGCTCAACACGAAATGGCAAGCTGGGCGTCCATGATTACAAGATACCGAAAAAACATATGGTCTATTGTGAATCATTCTGGAGAATTTTGGGGGGGAGGGGTGGAGCATCGTTCTGGGCCAGTGAAAATTACACCAGGTGAGTGGATTTTGAGAGTCACTCGCCAGAATGGCAAGTGCTGTCAAAATTTAGTTTCCAACATTGATAATGATGTGTAAACATTTATCAGAAGGTTAGGAAGTGAATTCATGTAGCATGTTAGTGACAGGCTTTCAGCCAGATGGGTGTCCAGGCGTCCTGTGGATGGCCACTTTTTAAAGAAAATAAATTGTTTTATTTTCCATATATTGCCTTATAAATGTTCATTTGAGCAGGCCCTACAGCACATACTGGATGACCACTTTTTAAATCCTGGCTAAAAGCCTGGTTAGGGACATAAGGGAACAAGATGGCTATTTATAGCTCTTTGCACACATTACATGCCTATGATGATACAGATAATTTTTATTAGATACACACTCAACTCCTCACACACACTGACCATATTGCTGAATTGTATTTGAATTCGGTATTCAGTTGATACACACAGGATAGCTCTGGAAAGTCTTAAGGTAATTCCTTAGTATTGCATTGGGCAACCAGGTGATCAAAAACGGCTTAAATGAAGCAATACTGCTTATGTGAATAAAAGAAGCTTTACTTTCAAGATAAAATTTTGTGTCTTTCAAGTAACCAAGACTTAATTCTGTATGAAAGTGATTCAAACTTTTAACACACAACCAGTAAAAATACCCCATTTTAAGAGCCTGCTGACGCGTAAACCAGCATGGTGACCCCATTTTTTTTATTGCATTTTTTCCATGTTCATATCATGAATGGTAATTATGCTAAGTTTCAAGAAAAGCTTGATAGTCGAACAATTTCAAGGGAATTACCTTAAACCTTACCTTACAGACATTGCAGATTGTTCCTTTGAATTCGGGACAATAGGAAGCTTGACAGAGAGGACATTTTTCCTGTGGCTTGCCTCTGTATAAACAAAGACAGACAAAGAAATGAAGAGCTGGCCTTTCATTTTATGTTTATTTAGTATATGCTAACTTCAGCTAACAAGACCCGACACCTTTATTGTTTCACACTCAGCTGTACCTGTAGAGGGGTTTATATGAAGCTCCACAGATGGTGAAAGGGTTGTGTTCATCATATTGAAGAACGTGAGCATCAGTTGGATTCTTGTCACACGCCTGAAGGATCTTGCGAATCTAAAAAGAAAATATACAACCCTCTCAGTTAATACCATAAAATGTACGACTATGTCAAGTAAGAAACAGAGTTTGGTTGTCTATGTACCTGTGTTGCAACATCGGGGCGTGGCCCCAGTTCCAGCAAACGTCGGGCAAAGGAGCCAGCCGTCTTGAAATTCTTTAGCTGCAGTAAATAATAGGGAAAGGAATTCATACTAATCAGCTAGACAAGCATTTTTCTGCATGGAAAATTCCACGTCAAAGATCTTTCCCTCATCCATGGTACATTATTGACAGTCATCCCTCACCCATCACCAAAAACAAAATAATGGAAAAACTAAAAGTCACTCAAGTTTTTGTTGAAAATTGTGCTTTCTCACCTTGAAGAAAAGATTGACTGCAGTCCTAAGGGTAAGAATCTGATGCACTGGTTGAAGGTTACAGTGTGTAAAATAGGCAGCCATCTGCAATCACACAATTAACAAATTTTGTCAGCTGCTGATTCCATGAGTGTTACTATTGTGTTGAGTGACTACTGAAATAATCACTAGTTACAAGCCCCACTCTATTGTCTAGGTGCCTCTCTCCACCCAGGTGTACAAATGGGTAACAACAAATTTGATACTGGGGGTAACCCTGCAATGGACTAGCATCCCATCTAGGAGGGAGTAGAAATACTCCTAGTTGATTAATGCTATGATAACCAGTTAGGAAGAAGAAGGTGAATGGCTGGTAAGAAAGAGGAGCTAATATTTACAATGTCCTCTGTAATAGACCAATAGGGTCAATGAAATTCTCTTATCAATCCTAGCTGACATTAACCCTACATGCAAGATNTAACAAATTTTGTCAGCTGCTGATTCCATGAGTGTTACTATTGTGTTGAGTGACTACTGAAATAATCACTAGTTACAAGCCCCACTCTATTGTCTAGGTGCCTCTCTCCACCCAGGTGTATAAATGGGTGGCAACAAGTTTAATGCTGGGGGTAACCCTGCGCTGGACTAGCATCCCATCCAGGGGGAGTAGAAATACTCCTAGTTGATTAATGCTATGATAACCAGTTAGGAAGAAGAAGGTGAACAGCTGGTAAGAAAGAGGAGCTAATATTTACAATGTCCTGTGTAATAGACCAATAGGGTCAATGAAATTCTCTTATCAATCCTAGCTGACATTAACCCTACATGCAAGATTGAAAATTTAATCAACTGATTGATCAAGATGAATGACTGACTGATTGATCGATGAATCAATAGCTGATTAATTAATAGATTCGGCAAGTAAGGAGGCGACTCAATTTGTCCATCCCAGTATCAGCTCATGATAAGAAATATTACTGTTATAAAACATATGGCATCTGTTTGATTCATTGATGTGTTTGGAAAATACATGACTAACTCAGTATTACCTAAAATAGTTAATTGCACAATAAATTGTTATGATCAACGGTAAAGATTAAATTTCACAGCACGTTGTTTACACATCTGTTAATAATATTCCTCAGGTAAAACTAACCTCACACAGCCTCTTCTGCTCTTCAAGTGTGTTCTGTGAAGGAATTAGTGCTTCATGTTAGTAAAAACAGTGGACTCTATTGGAAAGTTCCATGGACAATAGGACTATGCATGAATTAAGTGACATTGGTCCTACTGTAAAAGAACATTTTGTCTTACCTTAGGTAGCTCCTTTCTCTTCACTTCCATCTGCAGTCCAACAATATATTCACGGCATATCCCTAACAGCTGCTGGGTTTCACTGATTTCTTGTTTACTGTCCACAACCAGTAGAGCAACGCTCAAAAGAATAGTGTGGAGTTTTTGGACTGCATCTTGGAACTTACCTCCTGTGGTCAATTGATACGCAGCCTGAAAAAAAAANTTACTGGTACCAGTAAAATGTATCCCAAAAGCTGGTTTTGAAAATTTTTGCAGTTGATCACAACTTCTCAGCTACATGCAGCCACATTACACCAGTAGAGATTACCATGAAACAGAAACAATCAAGAAATATTAACTAGCTACCCAAAAATTATGATGTTCAACCTGTAACTCACCCTCATGGCACTTTCAAAGGATCCGGCAAGAATGTGATCAACAGCAAGCTGGGAATTCGTACACCACACCTGCAAACAGGAGTAAACAGACTTAGACGAGGTCTTGAAAAAGATATTCAATCCATACAAAAACAGAGATCAAGGGTGCAGAGAAAATTCCAAATACTTATAAAATTTTCACTAGCTAAGACTAAAGAAAGTACTTTGTGAATGGTGCAGATGTCAATGAATTGGCAGGCATTGCATACATTTGATCACGAACCAGTGGCTTGATTTGCTCGACACCCAGGAATCTAATCATTATCACATTCTGTAGCCACAAACAAGTTGTGTAATTACCTGAGACTGGCTAGTTCCCTTGACAGGAGGTACAAAGTAACCTTCATCTCCAGTACCAGCTGCTAGGCCAACATCCTGGGAATTCAATACAACATAGATTTTCAAAATCACATCACCAGCAGACTATATAATATTGATAACTTATAACCTGAAATCCATGTGGTAGATATTAATTTAAACAGAAATTTTGAAAAAGAAACCTGAATACAAAACCTTGTCTGAACATTGTAATGTAAACCTAGTAACTGAATATGCAATTTGTTTTTCAAAAATAATAAATGCTTTTCTTATATCAAAAGATAAAAACACTTATCCTTAGTTACAACAACTGGACAAAAAATTGAAATGAAATTATGTTCCTGGTAAGAGAGACAAATTAGAAGCAGACTGTGTCTGGTCAATCCTAAAACCTCTTGATCATTTGTAAAACTGGTTAAATCCAGGATTAACGTAGAATGCTATAAAAAAACCTCTCACAAAGGCTCACCAAGTCAGGGGGGAGAACCAGATCTTCATCTCCCACATCCCATCCACCACCCTCTTCATCTCCTCCAAGGATGTCTCTGTCCAAACCGTCATCGCCAAATCCTCCTTCTACAATCAAGTTGAAATGCCATTTTATGAAAACAGCACAACAAGCAGGAAATCATGTTTCAAACTAAAAGGTACCTTCATCGATCACAAGTGCTGCATCCTCTCCCCAGCCTTCTCCAGCACCTTCATCCATGTCAGCTGCCACCATTGCAGCAGCAGCTCCACCACCAGCTGTCAATCAGAGATGAATAAAATCAGTTCAAATGTCTATTTTAACTCCACTAAACAAGAAGAAACAAAAGCTACACCTGGCACACATGCAATGCAGGATTTTTCAACTTGCACATTACATCCAAATTTCACCAGTTGGGTATTGAATAACATGATATTGAAAAGTTTTTGAAAAGTTTCATGTTTCAGGATAGCATAGACTATCACATTTGTAAGTGTCCAACAGAAATTAGGAAACTACAGTGTAGGCTCTACAAAAGTGGAGGGGCAGTGACTCAAAACAAGACTTAAGCCCTATACATACATGTACATTGTTTCAGTGTAACTTACAACATCCAGGTACATAAATGCAGTAGAAAACATACCAAATTGTTACTTAACAACAATATTATAGTGCACAGTATAAAAAGAGCTCTGCAAAAATTCACTCATGTGCAACTTGCAATTATTATTACTAAGCAAGGCTGTGGTCTAATAAAATTTTGAGAAGCCAAAAGGTTCCCAACCATGAAATCCTGGGTGCCCAGCACTTAAACCTTATATGAAGTCGCCCAAAGGCAAAAGTTAGTCGCCTGTGGCACCTGAGCACTTCTGGAGCACTGCTAAGTGATTATCAGCATAGCACAATCATGTGCCAACTCTGTTTTAAGCACTATCAGCAATGGTGAACTAGGCATAAGCATTGAAAATTAACAGCCATTGAAGATCTCCCTTCTTGTGTCTTACCTTTTGCAGCCATGGCCCCTTCAAAGAAGGTCTTAGCCACAGTAAGTAATGGCCAATTGCCCTCATTCTGTAGAATTGGCAGGGGAGGTTGTAACAACTTGGCACTTGGGTTCACAGGAGGGAGCTGTGAGGGAAACAAGACGGTAAAATTGGAAAGGAAAACAAAATTAAATAAGGAATAAAATAATTAGGAATATTGATATAAGATATTAAAGAAAGAATCTTTTACTTGAAATCATAAACAAGTTTGATGTTAGTTTCCTTTGTTTCAGAGTATCATAATACAACAAAGGAACCAAAACAAATTCCACTGGTTTATAAGATTTCAAAACAAAAGAAAACTGAAAAAATACAAAATAAAAAAATAAAAAATAATTACGTTAAACTTTACTTACTGCCTCTGGGTCAAGATCAAATGTGTCCTTGATCTCCTGGCATTCCTCTGCTAGGCCATGTGTAGCTGCTGTTAAGTATGCCAATGAGCCTGAACAAAAAGACAAAAAAATGCAATCATTGTAAATATTATGATGAACCTTAGCCAGGGTTTCAATAAGGGCTGGGCACCACATAAATTGACTGGCTGTGAGGACAATTTTGCCCACCTGGTTTGATCATCTAGAGCAAAGTTTTGCTTATAACGAACTTCAGTTCAAAAAGTTGATGAAAACGTTAAATGAAACCCCTGCCTTAGCTGTTTTATCTCAGGACCTACAGTATCAGCATCAAAAATATATTTTCATTGTGGTTTAAATAATTAAAAAAGACAACAGGCATACCTTGACCAAGACTCTTCAGGATCTTGATTCTTTCTTCCACATCACCTGTGTACAATGCATTGTGGTATTGGCCACTCATGTCTTTGCGGATTTCAGCTGAATGGCCACATAGAAAAAAAGAAATCACTCATGTTGATTTGAACACTTTCTAAAATAAGTCATGTCTCACTCCACAAACTAATTGACATTCAGTACTAAAATGAAAACCCTACATACCAATCTTTGTCATTTTGCCAAGTTTCTCAAGATTGCCAGTGATGAGATAAAGGAAAGACAACTTGTCAAAGTTCTTTGTTCTTTGGTATGCCATTTCCACCACCTGTTAAGAATAATGGATAACATGACACACTGTAAGCTTCCAACATTTTGTTTCTGGTAATAAACTGCATGTTTTTTNTTTTAAAGGCCTGTTTATATTTATTCATGTTGCCATGGCAATGGCACATCCGTCAGCTTAACCATCAAAAAACCAAAGTTTGTGTTGTTAACTTGCTTGCTGCCATTTTTGACAACCGAGGGATCAAGGGTTTTAGAGAAAAAGGTGATTGAAACACAGGTATCAAAAACTGTGTTCAGCCACCTTAAGTGCTGGGCAGCCAGGATTTCAAGGTTAGGAACCTTTGGGCTCCTCAAAAGTTTTCTTAGACCACAGCCTTGAATTTTCAGGAATTTTATCATCATTTCTCAAGTGCAATAAGTAAGAGCAAGTCTGTAAACTTTGTACACCTACCTCAATGTTACCACATTCCAAGGCCAATCCAAATCTGGTCTTTTCATCTTTAACAAAATGTAGAGCAACCTGAAAAAAGAAAAAGAATAAACCATTAATCAAAATAAACATTTAAGCTGTAAAGTATGTGGCTAATAAGGACAATTTTTAACTACTGTCTTGATAATTGTCAAGCACAATAAAAGTAAATGAGACTCCTTTGGATCAGCGCTAGTGGTCATACTGGGTTGTTGCACCCTTAGCTTCCAGCTAGGGTTACAAATAATTGCCCCGGGTTTTTAACTTTTGATAAAATATAGTTATTTTTCTCAAACCCCCAAACCTGGGTCAATTTTTAGGGATGATTAAGTGTTTATTTCAGGATGTTTGTTAAGGGTCAATCAAAGGAAAAATCTTCATTTTCACTATTTACATCATTTACCAAACAGCAAAATAAGACTCTTTTTACATACCTCAGGATAACCTTTCTTTTGCAGGTAAGAGATAATGGACTGTCCAACTAATTTTGCATTTCTCACCATGTGAAGAACCTAATGTGACAGCAACATTTAAAATAAATTTCAAAATGTCACGTTTTAACATAAATTTAACATAAATATGTCATATAACATTTACATTAAACCACACAGGACTGTAAAACTTAACTTACCTCATCATATTTGCGATTGATCAGGGCCAGTTTGAATTTAAACTCCGTTGGATCAATTCCAAGAACTCTAGTTTTGCACTCTCGGTCAAGGCAGTACACGCTGCTTCCCTGAACAAGTACAATAATAGGCTGTTAGTTTTATCCTCAAGTATCAATTGTAACACCCACTGTTAGTACTTATAAAAGTCATCTTCAATTCTTCTCCATGTTCACGAAATATATGATAGGTATAACATTTTGCAGTACAAATTAAAAAAAAGCAGGTTTTGTCAACCAACTGACACGTTTTGTGCATTCAAACAACAAAACAAAAATTCCTATTAAAAATTGTTTGAGAATGAACTCACCTTCACTCTAGTAATGTAGATAGGCAAGTCAAGTGTACGGATGATCCCGTGATCACTAAAACACAATCAATAAATCAATCAATCAATCAGGAAAATTCAAAGAGGAGCTCATTATTTTTCAATTACGATGTCTCTATTTGTCCATCCTTGACCTCTGTCTACTTTTTATCCATACTACATGTTGAAGTTTGGACTTAGAATCTTACTAGACCCCCCTGGCATCATGGCACTTTTGCTGGCTCAAAGGACCGTTTAACTCCTATATAATCCTGTACATACTGTATCTATAAACCAATACAGGAAATAAAAGCACCCACAAAATGCACACTAACCCGTTAGTTAATGCATATTTGATGTGGTTGCTAGTGGTGTAGACAAACACGCCATTTTCTTCCCAGGCCCCACTCTTGACACGGATGTTTTCATGGATGGTACATAAGCACTCCAACTTTCGATTGCAGATTGCGACAACTGTGTGCAAAATAAATAAGAAAAATTGTGTGAAGACCTTTTATACATGTATTTAAAACAACCAAACATTTATGTCTGTATACTTTTATTCATATGTTTCTTTATTTTCTCACTTTTGCCAAGAGCCAATTTGCTATGATTATTGTAATTCCATTTTTAAACTTGATTAAAAGTTGTTTTAGACTCACCATGTTTTCCTAACAGAGCTACATGGGCCATGTCAGCAGACCACACCACATAGCGCACCTTGTTCACTTTGACAGATGCCAAGGACCTAAAGAAGCACAAGAATTTCAATGCAGAGATAATTAGAGGATCAGATAATTATAATTCAGGCACTGCACTGAGAGAAGGAAGGGACTTGCCCAAGAACACAACACAAAGATCCTGACCAGAATTCAAACTTAAACTTTAATTTGGGTCTGTTAATATGTATACACAGACTATCCACCATACAACACATGAATGATTTACTAAATACCATTAAAAGAAACATGAAATGGCTATGAAAACAAACACATACCTCTTCTGTTGTACATCAAATAATGTGACAGAGTCAGAGTCCCTTAATAACAAGCTTCCAGTACCAGCATAAAATATCATTTCACAAGGCGGAGTTTGAACTTTCTTTGTCACTTCATTCTTCAGGTTCTTGATCAATAACTAGTTACCACAAACAAATAAAACATGACATGAAATCTCAATCAAACAAAACTCTTCAAGTTTGCTTCAATTTGGATTTCAAATCAATAGATGTCAATTTAGTGGGATTATCCATATCAGAAGGTGAGAGTAGCCTTACATGTAAGTCTTAAAGGACTTTTGTTAGTGACCAGTATTTATAAAATCTAAGCCTATCAAGGCCTATCAAGATTTCAAAGCACTTCAATTTCAGTAATACAAAACCTTAACTCCCTCAGTAGTGCAAAGAGTTTAGACAAAAAAATGGTCAAGGAAGAAACACCAGTCAATGAGTCCTGACAATCAATCGCATATCTAATATATCAAATCAATGATCGCATCTTACATTGTGTGTCCTGTCCAAGACAGCAAATCTATTGCGAGCCACCCACACTGCTGTCAATCCAGATGCTCTCTTACCCTCAGACACTGAAACAGAACACAGGCATGTAATATACATTAAGTCAATGTCAATCGATATTGATGCCATATAACATCAAGAGCTATCAAAACCAACTTGCTGATAGAGTTTTGTGTGGCAATGGCAAGGGAGGTTTCTGTTTCAAGTTTTTTTGCTGAATGCTGTTAGACTAGCAGATGAAAAGCCACAAACCACTGCAATACTTGCAAGTGGCTCTCCGATTATTATTCCAATACCAGACAGTGCAGTTGCAATTCCAGTGGTTACATGTACATATAATAAATGGGACCGACTTCTTGCAAGAGTAAGCTCATCTGAAGAACACCACATAATTATTCTTTTACATGTACAGGTATGTACACAATGTTACTTGTATACCTTCCGGGTTGCTACTGTCAATTTCCTTGGGAACAGCATGCAGTTCATAAACACAGTTTTCTGGATTGCTTGCATTCTAAAAACATAATAAAATAATAACCAATTAAAATAATATTTATGGACAGAGGTCACTTCCAAAATATATACTTGCAGCACAACAGATTATTCTCAAAATTCTAACTTGGTTAGGAGTTAGGGAGTAAAACAAATTTTATATCACATGAAGGTTGATGGATAAAAGATTTCTGTTTTTACCTGATTACTACGATGCAAGCGTAAATAAAGATCACTTACTGTACAAAGAAGAACACAGTTTTCAGCAGGGTTGTAAGACATGCTATACACAGGAGTGCGAGATGAATTCCTACAAAGTGAGAAAAAAATTAATAATCCAGCAAGAACAATAATTTAACAATTGCCTTACAAAGTGGAGATTGGGTGCCTGAGACATCCAGGGGCTTCCACTATAAGCAGCCAGCTCTTAGATGGAGACCGCTCTCATGGCTGGCAAATCCTGGCAACCTAGCCATGAGCACCCATGCAGAGAGGAGAAAACAGGCACCCATCACACTGATAAAACAGTGGAAAGAGAGGAAGGGGAGGGAGTGGGAAAACAGCCTCCGAGAAGAGTCATAAATGATGTTGCAAGGTAACATAAAGATCTGATTTACCTTCTAAACTGCATCACTGGTACATCTTTAGAAGTTCCAAACTCATACATCCTCAAAAATCGCTCCTGCAAAAGAGTTGCATGTATATTTAGAGATATTTATCCAGTGTGAGATCAGATGAAATGACATCTACTGTACATGTACATAGATGCATGTAGAGGGAGAGCTGATATGGGCTGTGTTTCACTAGCTGCCGTGTACTTCACTTAAAGCCACAATAATCTGGGGTAATAAGCCAGTAGCATGGCTGTGAATCAGTGATGCATTAAATTTGTATCAATCACCTCCATCATACACAAGATTAGATCATCCATTTCTATAGATTGATACGTAAACTTACGGCGACAAAGTTTTTTGTACACGTAGCTGCATTTTCTCAGCATACCTTGGTATAATACAAAGTGTTTCCATGAACAGCATAGGCTGGCCTTTCCCTCTCTAATTTAAAGACGATCATTCCACTGTCATGACCTACAGGAAAAGATGCTCATCAATTACCAGTAATGCACTACTACACAGTACAGTACTTATAAGGCATGGTACACATCTAACAACCAAAGCAGGAATGTGCAGTAGCCAAGAAAACATTACACTGGCTCTGCTTAACAACTCCAGCCAGCTTTTAACGCTTTTGCACCCGTTTTTGGTGAGATTTCACCTGGTTAAAGGCTCTCCTCCTGTCAGTGCAATGAGCAGGTTGCGTTCTCTTAGCTACAGTATACATCCCTACAAAAAGCACACAACATGTGCAGAAGATGGACTACAGCATGTACACAAAATGTATCAAGGAAGATACACTGTTACCGTATTTACCCGTGTATTAGTCGATCCCGTGTATAAGTCGACCCCCAATTTTTGAGGCCAAAAACTAGATTTTCTTAATTTCCAGGTAAGAATT